GGTCAGTGTGTGCAGAAGGTGGCATTAATATTTTTGAAGGAATTTATTTTTATTTGGATTGTCTGTCCAAGACACCCAATGCCTCATTTTTGGGATACTGAGCAACCTTTATTCTTACTGGATTCATCTAGAATTGTGATAAAGCTCAGAATAAGTAAAAATCACGGTTCGAGTGCTCACACTCAAAGAAAAGGCAGATAACATCCAGAGCTCAGCACTGAAAACAGTTCAGCTTCTGCTGGCAACTATGTGCTTGCTGTGTTAAGACACTCCACGCTGTGCAAAAGCAGCATAACTGCATTAATGCACCACTGAGCCTAAGGTAATACAGTTTTTGCCTCTTAGCTAACTGCAGTGGCATGTCTCCCAGGTTAGTCCTGGTTTGTGTCTGCACTGCCCGGAGCATGAGTAGAGAATTTATGTCTGCCTATCAGAATACTAGATAGATATATTATCATGTCAGGGAGAAATTCCTACTGACAACAGCAAACTTTACTGGTATGTTCCAATCAGAAAGCAGTTTGACAAGCAAAATTTGTGGAAGCCAAGTTTTGTATCAATTTGCATTTCTTGTCAACATCCCATGTTGATATTTTTGGTATGATTAGCAGTAAAAGCTATGTTGCAACATTGCCCCCAATGGGACATAAGCCTCTCTCATATCAAGTTATCTGTTTTCATGGAACTTTCAGGACATTCTCTGAGCAGCACGTACCCTGTGCCTGGTTGCAGCTGGCTAGTGGATTCAATTGTGGAAGGAAACAAGACACAATATCAAAGGATGCAACTACAATTGCTCACGTATTAAGCATGATTGTGAAATTGTGGTCAAGAAAGCCATGTTTCCTTAGGAAACTAGGTTTAACAGGAGTTGTTACTCTATACAAACTCATCTTTGGGATAATATGGTCAGAGACAGCTCACTCTACCTGCTAATAGAACATTGTTAAAAAACAAAAATAAGACAGAGAAACAATATTTAAGCTGTGACACTTATATCCATATGAGTTGTACACCAAATTGTTTTTCCACTTTTTCAATGAACAAGTCCTCTAACATGTTTCAGCAATATTTTCTGTTTTTTCAGCACATATCTATACTCTTTAATGTAACTAAATTTATGGTCCAGATCCAACTGATAACCTGTTTAGCAAACCAGAACCATTTTAGACACAGAATAATATTTTATAAAATATGTACTCAATAGGTAAATTCAGTCAAAACCAAATATTAAACACGTTTCAGTATTATGCTTATGCCACTAAGGCTCATTATAAAATGCACAATGGAAAAAAAGAAAACACACTGATTTTCCAATGATCTTGACATTTTTTCTTTCTCTGCTTAGGAGTTTGATGATATTCATGTCACAATTTTGCATAAAGAAGAAGATACTGGGCTTGGATTCAGCCTGGCAGGAGGCACTGATCTAGAAAACAAAGTGATAACAGTAAGTAGCATCTTTCTTAAAATATACTCCAAAAACAACTACTCCATCTAAAAATATAAACTTACTGTTTTTCCACTACAGATGTTGGCTTTTTGGCATAATCAAAGTAAGCAGCTGTACCAATAGGGTCAGAAGAATCATGGTTTTAGCGGGTGAAAACATGATGCTTCTTGCACAGAGCTGCCCTCTCCAGGTGACTGGTAGTGGTGTCCTGGTTCCTAAGGCACCAGAGTCCCCAACAGCTCTGAAAGCCAAGGCAGAACACCACAGCCCTCAGCAAGAACCAACCAGTACTTTATTCACATGCTTATAGAAGAGCATGCAGGGTGGCCAGGAGGAATGAGGTGAGCATGTAGACACGTAACGGGTCTGGAATCTGGAGACTGGCTTCACGCCTTTTCCTCCTCCAACTAGCAAAGCAACAAGAGGGTCAGGAAGCAGCATAGGCGAGGTACATAGCATGGGCAGCAAGGCTTTGGCCCTCTGACACTGAGGCTAAAGAGACTGCCCAGCTGCTTGAGGAGGGCGTAGCTCAGGAGAACTTCTCTGTACACATTTTTTCAGCCCTCAGTCCTGAAATGTGCTAAAAGCAACTTGGTTCGTGGTAAAGAACGGAAAATGCACATGGTAAAAAGTATTAGCTGAGTGATTTAGTGATTTCTCCTTTTTTCCCCCTCTTTTCTTGTGTGCGTGTGTGGTGCCTGGTCTCCTCAATAGGTTCACAAAGTGTTTCCCAATGGACTTGCATCTCAGGAAGGAACTATTCAGAAAGGAGATGAAGTACTATCCATTAATGGAAAGTCTCTGAAAGGTGCAACTCACAATGATGCCTCAGCAATCATGCGACAGGCGAGACAACCCAGACAAGCTGTTGTTGTCACTAGAAAAGCTAAAGATGGAGAAAAAAATCTTAATGTTTCAATCAACTCTAGTACATCTTCAGTAGCAAGTGATGCTTCACAAGTGTCTGGTGAGTAAGTTCAGTGGCATTACCTTGCAGCCCCCAACTGCTAAGAGTTTAATCATCACCTGAAATCCTGGGTGTTCATAAAGCAGCTCACAGCATTGTATAAATCTGAGAAACATGATTAAAGACAGCATGGTTAATAAAACATTCATAAAGCAGACATTTGGAATAGCTTTGTTGGAAAGGGAAAGAATTAAGAGATTTCTAAAATAAAGGAACCTTTTGAAAAAAACCCATGTGATCCTCTGTATGAATTTCTGTAGATATACAAAGATTATTATTGTAGTAACACATCTAACTGAAGGTATAATGACAACTTGGTGAACAGTGATTCTTTATTCCATACTATTAGATTCTAGTTTACAAGACTTTTTCTCTGTGAAAGAGAATTTCAGTTTGAACAAACAATGTGCTATTGTTTGCTATAGCAGATGGCTACATCTGAAACACAGCAAGGTCAGATTTTTTTGCAGAACCTTTCACATTCTTAAGATATTTTTGTGAGGGTTTTTTTTTTTTTTTTAGGCATAGTCTGGAGATCTGTAGCATTATTTACATACTGCAAATAAACATTAGCAGCTTTGTAGTTGACAACAATTTCGTAACTAACATCAAGACAAATACATTTATCTTAAATTTTGTTCATTGAACACATTTTTCTAATTCTAGTAAATTCCACCAGCTTTTTATATTTCCATTCTGCCATGAATTCAAACATAACTTTCTCTTCCCAGCTTCCCAGAAGGCCTTACAATGACAAAATGAGGAATTGAAAGTGAAAAGTTTTCTCTTTCATTTGGCAGTTTATGATGCCTTTGCAAACCAAACACAAGTTCATTTTTTGTAACAGATGTTTTAGCTTTTCAGAGTGTGTTGCCCATCTGCTAACTTTCCATTTGTTTCCAGCAACTGAAGATACAATCTGCACTGTAACTCTAGAAAAAACACCTGCTGGTTTAGGATTCAGTCTGGAAGGAGGGAAGGGATCTATTCATGGAGACAAACCCATCACCATCAACAGGATATTTAAAGGTAAACACACTTAAATGCATACACAGCAGGTTCTTAGATGATGCAAAGTTGTGCATTTCATAACTGATTGCTGATCTATACCTGTGCAAATGGTATTTTTTGTAAGTGCAGCATTGTCCTGTGCAGTGCCAGTAATTTGTTGCCTGCTGAGACCAGGTGGTTTATACCAAACATGCTGGTGATCCTTAAGTGAAAGATCTGTTGAAGACTCCTCTGCACAAAGAAATAAAGGAAATTCATTTTCTTTCTCCAGGGACTGCATTAGAACAAAGCAGCCCTGTTCAGCCTGGTGATGAGCTATTACAAGTGCACACAGCTGCCCTGCAAGGACTCACTCGTTTTGAAGCATGGAATATAATCAAGGCATTACCTGATGGGCCCATCACAGCTATCATCAAGAAGAAGAATCCAAGCTCTGTTACCACCAAGTCATCTGAAACTTTGTAAGAGGAGGAATTAGACTACTGCCAATATTACAAACAAAAAAAGATTTCATTACTTGCAGCCATTTGGCTAGCACAGCAAGATACTCTGAAAGCACAGATGAAAAGTACACACAATCGTACTGCCAGTTACAGAGCAAGACGTCTGGGATAAAATAAGATGTGCACAGAATGTGCATGGTTCTTATTTCAACGTTCAGAAACAGATGTTCCAAAGTGCAGAAATATAAAACAATGACTATTAAAAATATACTGATTGTAATAAAATATGTGACAGCTATAGTACTCTCCTATTTTAAGCCATTAACTTAAACACCAGAACCACATTCTGTGCTAAGTTTTCAGTCCTACTCTACAAGTCTTGCTCCCTGCCTTACCTTCCCACGAGGAAGAAATACATCTGCAAGCCTAAATGCTACAGCAAAAGAAAAGCCTCAGAGAATGTGTAAAGGGCAGAGAAAGGTGGATGCAACTTTGGGTGTATAAATGACAATGTTCCCTGAAAAACTCCAGCTTTTCTATTCAAACCACAGAAGAGCCAGAACAGTCAAAAGCTGTCTAGGGTAACTTTCTACTAGCAGCTGGCAGAACCACCTCAACTCCAGCAGGCAAACACAATGCATGCAGGGGGGAAAGAAGTGTCTCGCAGTATTGGAAGGGTGAGGCAGAATGCTGAAGGTAATATAGCAGAGGTTTTTCTAACCTTCTTCTGGTCTCAGAGGACTAGAGCAGGAGAATAACAAGGCCATTTAGAACCAACACTTACCTTATGTGAGAGGGAAACTTTTTGTACATATTTTAATGGGTACCTACCTGAAACTCTCAGAAATTTTTGGTTTTTTATTTTTTTATTAAATCTCTCATATTTAACTGAATCTGCATTATTAGCTTGGGCTTAACAAAGTCTAAGTAAATGCCTGGTGTATATAAAAGATTTTAAGATTTTTCAACCACTTGCCCATACCACCAATATAGGAAAAACATGAATGATTTCTGTACGGAAAAGTAGGCTTGAACTCTTTAGCACTGTTAAAACTATTTCCTGTAAAAGAGAGATCACACTTATTGGACAGCTTCATAACTTGAACAGAGACTGGACTAGCTACAGCCATGGCACAGAATGCCTTAATTACCTCAATGCCATCTGCTGAAGGTGTCCTCACCTGAAACAGCTACTTGAGTTCATCAATTTAAGAACTGACATAGAACCACCAAGACAAGTTTGCTCTTGTTTTTTTCCAGAGGTGCTCTTACTTCACTTCCAAAGTTTTTGCATGTGTCTGCATTTCCCGTCATCTGCCAAGATCAAAAGAAGTCAAAATATACTGTGTGACAGGCAGCATGTCTCACTGGGGGGTCCTGCAAGATCTTACAAGATGATCTTTGCCAAGACATTTCCATCTCCAGTTTGTCAGGGCAGAAGTTCTGAATGTCAAGGACTCTTAATCCCTTCTGGATAGAACATGTTGAGACTTCAGGAAAGGGATCCTTCAGTTATTCCAAGGAAGAGCTGCACCTACCACCTTTATTGCTCAGAACAATAAAAAAAAAATTATGAAATACATAATAAACGGCTAATAAAAAGCCCTGTTGTCTGCAAAAGGTTTACTTGCAGGAATAACAAGCAGTGACCTGAGCTCTGCACCTTGAACTTTTTGCTAATTGAATTAATCATAATCCTGCAAAGACTTGCTGAGATATTGAACTTCATGCCTAATAACTTTAGCACATTTAGACAAATATGTATGAGCCTCTGTAATTTCAGGGCCCAAATCTCTCCTCGGTGAATTTGTTACTCTTTTTAAGCACAGAAAGCTGCAATCTAAATTGGAAATAAGGACCAACCCAGGGCAAAGAAGTTGGGTGAGTGCTCTCCGCAAAACACTCTTGTCCCCAGTTACTGGGGAAGGTAAACCAGAGTGAAGTCTTTTTCCTCTCTTGTTGCCTTGAATTCAGAGACTGAAAGTCCAAGTGGCTCTTATCTTTACTTCCTGGCAAAGCAGGTGCATGAGGAACCATTTTAAAGGATGATCAAGGAAAAACAGCAAGATGTAGCAGAAAAGTATTTATTTAATCAGATTCATAAAAGTTTTTACATCTTTGTACAAAAAACCGACACGATTAAAAACTGATTACTTGAAAAATCTATTCCCTAGGGTGAGATTTACAGTAGGAAACTTTGTGTGCAAGTCCATGCCCTATACTAAATATAAAAAAAATACAGGGACCGAAAACAGAGGATATTAATCTTGTCAAATAATTGAGTTACAGCATTAAAATCACAACCTTCATTTAGGTTCCTGATTTAGCAATTAATTTTCTTTTTTAATTATATGTAATCCATAGTAATGTCTGACATTTCTGCAGTAACCAGCACCACAAGTATTTTCTAAAACTGGACACATCAGTGCACACAAGATCAGAACCTGATTTCCCAGGATAGTGTGATGAGGCAAACCAATCTCAGAGAAAAAGTAATGTCCTTATGGCCTGTGAAGTCAAGACTAAGCTACAGAAAATATTATTTACCGGTTAAAACCTCTCACCACAAGAGAGCAAAAAAGGTCCAAGTGCAGTTAAAAATGGTCATTTCAAGTGCAGTTTAAAAAATGGCAGGTAAGGTGCTCAATCCTCTATTTATTGCCGCCATGTCAGTGCAGTTTGTTTCATGACATTGTGGAAATCACCGATTTTTTGGTACAGAGGGGAGAAAAGTAGTGTGTCTGTTTGCCAACCCACAGACCTATGAATTGATTTGCACTGCTAGACCTTGATTTAGGAAAAAAAGCGCTTAAGGCGTCTTTGCCATTAGTACCGATGTCCGCTGGAACAAACAAGTGCAATCCTCCACACAATCCAATTTGTTCTGGCTTGGATGTGCTGAAGCATCTTAGCACCTCTATGAGTGCTGGAACTCTATGAGTTCTTTCCTTTTGGAGAAGGAACATTATTCCATGGGAGTTTATGAGGAGCTTCAGAGACAAAACAGGGCTGACCTGCACCTGGCTCATGCTGTAGTGCTAAGTGGATTTTAGCAATGCTCCTCCTCACAGACACTGGCAAAGTGTGGCCAAGAACAGATCTAGCATGCTCATCTTCCCCTCGCAGGCAGCCGCCAGCGCTGCCTCCAGGATTCTTCCATCCTCTGGTGTGATATTTTTCCAATTATGAAAATTAAGGATATCATATTAGAAAAGAATTAATTGCTTTGCATAGAGATAGGTAAAAAAACGCTGTTCTAAAAATTTACTTTACTCAATCCATTGTTCCCCTTCCACAAGTATCTTTGCTGGCAGTAAAGTCCTCTAAGGCCAACTTCCTCCTTCTGCCCTCAAGCTGTCAAGTTCTTCCCTACCCTCAGCTAGTGACATCAGCAATTAGTCTTGTCACACTTTAAATTCCTTAACAACTTTGGTCAGGTTGCTGTACAATCCAGCTATGCTAGATGGAAAGAAGGAATCCACCACCTTCTGGGGAAGATAGCCACCAAGATCAGTCTGAAAGAAACTGATGAGATGAGTCTTGTCTGGCTCCCTGCAAAGACAATGCAAGTGATTTTATAGCCAGAGGTTTAAAAGCATTAAGAAGTTCACAATGTCTCTAATATGTATTGTCTGATGATAGATACTTCTCAGTACTATTTTAAGAAAAAAAAAAAAAAACAAAAACCAGACATTAATTCCAAATTTCAGTGAATGTGGTTATCCCCACAAGTAAAATTACAGTTAAACTAGGACCTAATTAGGTACACGATTCTGTTGATGAATTATGGCAATGTAATAAACAAAGGGATACTCATTTACCAAAAAATTAAGACCATATTTGTATGTTCTGCTGATTCTCTGCTTAAGAGGCCAGCAAAAATCCTACCATGATGATAGTTCCTGTAACATTAAAGACTTCCCTCTAGGAAATGAAGAGAGACTAATTCATTGGACAAAAAAGAAAACAAAAAAGGCACTCAGTCCTAATGATTACCAGACAAAGCAAGACAGAAACATGCTACTGCCAAGAGGCTGCAGATACCTGCGGCCACACACATAAACACATCTATAAGAAAGGCTTTAGAATACATAACATTCAGATACATTGCTTCTTACCCTGGAATAGGTATACAGAAACAGCCACAGGGATAATTCAAACCTCTCACGAAATTTGGTTGAGGAGGACACCGTGGGTGTTCCACATTGGTGGCTGTAAAAAAAAAAGCATTCAAGAAAAATTCATGTTCACAGGAGATGGGAAATAGTCCTTGGTACTCAAAGCACCAGCTGAGAAAACATTTAAGAACAATGGCAGTGCAACTTTTTCAGTAGTAGCCTGTGCCATACAAGTGGTCAGAAAAAACCATTAAAAGGAACCACTCTGGCCATGGAATGGAGAAATCAAAGTAGTGTTAAATTTAGAAGCAATTGTTACTGAGCTCTGAACTAAGCATCCAGACACTGAGGGAGTTTCACTGAACCCATGTTGTGTGAGGGCATTGCTTTTCTTGAGAGGTCATACAAGTTACTTCCAACAAATCCATAGCACAGAGGTATATGCCACTTGAGTGCTGAGAAGCTGCACTCTAGCAAATGTATAAATTCTGTCAAGGCAGTCCTGAAGAGGGTGGGAAAATGGGACAGCTGAACAGCAGGGCAATAAAAGCACTGACTTGTATCAGGTAAACAACAGGATGAAAGTGACAAAAACATAGAAACATTCTTCTGCAGGCAGGGCGTCTCCTTAAAAATCAGCACTATTTGGCTTCATAAGAACATTTATTTGCACATAGAGGACTGGTACATTTATTGAACAGGTTCACCAAAATCTCAAAGCATTGCAGAAAATGTTAAAACAGGATTTAGTCTAAACAGGACTCCTTTTAGAAAGCTCTGTAAGTTCTTAAAAGAACAACAAAAGCACACACAAAAAAAACCCTCAGAACTTAATAGTAAACGAAAGAGTTATTCAATCTTGACGGCATAGCAAGGGAAGAAACCACAGGCCAACTGTATCATTATCTGAACGTTAACATGATTTAAATACTCAGAGAACAACAATTTTATCTTCTGATCACGAGCAGATCAAAAACTACTAAACAGCATATTACTTATCTTTTAAATATTTATTTATTTCTGGTAGCTGCTGATTATCTCTTAAGATAAAACAAACACATTGGGAACACAGGCATCTTACCAGCAGATAGCACTGTCCCATCTTCATATTCCTTCAGTAGTACCACATCCACAAATTCTCTTGGTGAAATAAGCTTCATGAAAACTGAGGGAGTTGTGGTTCTGCACACAGCGACAGTCTGGAAATCACACAACAGAGTTCTATCAGTTGATGCTTTCAAAAGCACAGCATAAAAATCCCTGTACTTTCTGGTACTCTTTCAGTTACACTTTATAAACTGTACCAAGGAGTCCTATTACACCCTTTGTTGAACAAAATGCAAATCAGCATAATCAAAAGGCATGACAGTGTGTTGATGAAGGATTGTTTAATGGAGAAAAACAATGTGACAATGCGTTGCTCCCAGGTTGTTTAAGGACAGATACCACAAACCATGCTGAAAAGCAAATCTGGCACATCTATGCTCATGGGACAGTTAAAATGCTTCTCCTTTGCAGTAAGCTTATCAAGATTACTTCTTTGTATCATATCACGTGGGATACAACTTGATAACCAGATTTGTTACACTGCAAACCTTAACACTACCACCCCCTTCTGTTGAGGCTCTGTGGCGACAGGCTCCCCAAAACCAGAGGTTTCTACCACACTGGTAAGTGCTGGCAAGTCTGATAAAGTCTATGAATTTCAAGTGGCAGGTGACAGCATTCCCAAAATCTAAGTTTATAGTTAGTACTAAATGCCTGTAAGGTTCCCCCAAGAAAATGAATCTTCCCAGGACTTCCACAAACCTTCCTGGGACTGGTTGTGTTTCCACCTGGCTGCCTCCGAGCACCTACATCCACTTCAGATTTGGGGATCTAAATCCAATGCCCTTTTAAGGTTTTGATACATAAACAAAAAAAAAAAAAGGAATAAGATTGTGTAACCGCAGGAACAGAAACTACTGCTCATACAGAGCTCTTTTCATCTGTAGTGCTCGAAGTGCAGCAACTCCATTTTAATGACACTGAGGCAAAGTGCTGTCACTTTGCAAGGTCAGTCAGCCAGTTAAAGGCAGCATGACACGCACAGTGCAGAGCACCGCGTGCTGCCACGGCGAAAGACGGACCCAAATTAACGGCTGATGACAGGAATGTGGGACTGTTTAGCTAACTCTATGCATTCTCTAAACATCCTCTTCCCTCACAAATAGCTTGTTAAAAATAATCATGCTGAGCATGATTTCCAGCATTAACAACAACATAGTGCAGGCATCTTTAATGTTTTACACTTCCAGACTTCAAGGATGCAGTATTTAGCCAAGAACGTACTAGCAGTTCATTTCAGAAAGATAATCCAATTGTGAATTAAAGAAGAAAAACAATATGCCCAATCCCAGTATTGTCAGACTGATCCAGAAGAGAGGCTGTACAGCTTCTGGAGACCTTTTTACCCCCCTGCACATCGCACAGGCTGTTTCACGGGCAGTACAATGCGACTGCCCGTGCAGCCCTCAGTATTTCTGAACACAACGCTGCATTAATCCCACCAGAGCCGTTTTTAAGGAACTTACCTCGCTGATGGCTTCGACGATCTCAAAGTCCTTCACGTTTGGATCCCACTTCTTCCTGTGCTCGCCGGGCAGCGGCTTGATGCATTCCCAGACCTGCCGGAGGCTGGCCGGCCCCGGTACCTGCGGCGGGGCGAAACGAAACCAAAACCCGCTGCTGGCCCCCACCCGGCCCCGACACCCT